ATGGAATGACCCCTGCAGTGTGACCTGCTGTTGGGACAGGTGTTTGGTGTCCTCCTGTCAGGCCAGACACAAGCAATGTGGCTGATTCTGAGCTTGGGATGGCTGAGAGGTTAGGAAGCAATTGCTTGTACAGCTATTAATCAATTAACAAAGGTGTATTGCACCTCCTCTATGTGTAGGTGATGCTCTGGGTATTGGGGACAACACTGAACACAACAGACCAGAAGTCCTGCCCTCATAAAGCATGTTCTAGTGACATGATACAAAGGGAAGGAAAACGATGTGCAGGTTCTGAGGACCAGATGGCAGCGCTGAGGCCACATCTACATGTTTTATTTAAGAGAGGGCAGTTTCCCAAGTTAGTAACAACTGTCCAGCGATGCGGGTCAGAGGCAATGCATGACATCTGCGTGTCCATCTCTCTCCTATCCAGTGCCCATGACGGACATTACTAATCAATCCTGCCATGCTTTCTCACTCAGCCCAGTCTCTCAGTAGTGCATTTCAAGCAGCCACTGCCAATCCATTCCTTCAGTGTTGTGTGAGTGGAAGCCTCCCAGGAACTAACTACCTCCATCCCTGCCTCCAGGGCAAATTTGTTGAGTAGGAAGGGCTCCCTGGAAGAGACTGGGATAGACAGATAGCAGGTTCTAGGTATACAGACCAAGTTCCAGTGTTCAAGATTTTTGGCTCAAATAGGAGAACGTGGCAGGTGGTGGAAACAAAGCAGGTGGGAGAGGATTTTTGTGCAGATGGATTGTGAGGTCATAACAACTGATACCAGGGCAGAGGCCATCTGTTTGTCTGCCCTCTGCCCTGTTTTTTTTTTTTTTTTTTTTAAGTCTTGCCTAATATGAGCAGCTGGTGTCTGGCCAGGTGTGTGCTGCCATCAGGTAGGCTGGACTCCACAGGTGGCGGAAGGGCCCACAATGGACAAGCTCCCTGGAGGATGCCCCACTCTAAGCTCTGCTCAGCCAGCAAGGAGAAGGGATCCTTCGCCATGATGTCAGTGTCTCTTAATACCCACTGCAGATTCCCTTAACATCCCATGCCAAGCACAGAAGCCCCTCAAATGTTAGAATAAATAAGCGAATACAAATCCTGAAGATGCAGATTGACAGGCTGTAGGGGGCAGGAATAGACACGGTGCAGGTTTTCTGATCCAGCAGACCGGGTAAAGGAGGAGTCAGAGTCCTCAGTGGTTTTTTGCAGGTCTTTGTTGGGATTTACCTGGTACACAGCAGGAAGGGGTTCTGGGGGGCCGGGAGCCTGGCAGGCCTCCCAGCCCCCAGTAAGCCTTCACTCTATCTGGGCTCTCTGGTGTTCTCTCTGCTTCTCTTCTTTTGGCTTCTGCTCATTCTTGGTTTCTCTTTTGGCTTCTACTGGCGTCCTCATGACTCCACCCTTAAAAGCCCAGTCTTAGCCCAGGTGAATCCCATCTACCTATGCCCATGCCCTACTCCAGGTACCCGCCATCAGGCATGCATTCAGGACCGCAAGGATCCATCATCCATACTGATGGCGGGAGGGCAGAAAAGCCTGACATTTTTCCTTACCCTACACAGGCCCAAGCTTTCCTTGAGACTTCCCCTGGAAGGAGGGGAGCAGAGTTTCCCAGACTGATATCCTGAGGACCCCTGCTCCTAGAGTGGGAAGCACTGGGTAAGAAAGAAGAAAAATGGGTAAAACATGCCTCTTCAGGACATCTCAGAGCCTAACATACACTAAGATAACACTGCATATTTAAGATGAGGACATAGTGTGTCACAGCTACTGGGCTTCACTCATGGAAACCTCTGTCTAGTGGATTTCTATCAATACATCATGAGACTAGTGTTTCATAGAACCCGGTTTTGGGAAACGCCTCCGGAAGGTCCTCACTTTGCCCACCTCACTGCCTCATGTGCTTGCTTGGGGGGCGGGGGACTGTTCCTCAATGCCCTTTCTTTGCCCTCTACCTTTCCACATTTTGTCCATTCTAAGTCCCATCCATACCACCAAGTTTCCAATGCTCCCCACTCTCCAGTGGGACTTTACCACTTGCTGCTTTAGTTTCCTCGAATAGACTGCATCTGACTCACTGCTTGTGCTGCAGCCTCGGAGGGGTTGTGGGGGTGGGGGCAGATGGTGCTCCAGGGGTACTCAGGCCATTGGGTCAGGCTGTGCAGGTGTGTGGACTGACTACACTTGTGAACAGATGTGTGCCTTACCGCCCGGCCACTTTCTCTTCCCTTATCCTGCTATCTAGTTCTTCAGGGGTAAAGCCCACATGGGAAAGAAATGTCTCCACCTCTGGAACTTCACTTCCTCCCCCTGCTTCTTAATATGCAGGGAGCGTGGACAAGAGGGAAGCGAACTGGCTGATCTATTTCCATGTTCTCTTCCTCCGAAGTGAAACCAGGGGCATTTTCTTATTTAATAATTAATGCCCTAAATCAGATGGTGCCCAATAGGTTAACCTCTGTCACTCGGAATGGAGTCAGCCTAATAACCACTGCAGCAGGATTGATTTTCCCTCAGTCATCTCATAAGCCTGCGTCTTTGGGGTCCACCCCCTGAGAGAGAGCCTGGGGAAGCCCCATTAGAGTTAATGGCAATGAGTTGTCCCACGTGGGGACAGCCCTTTTCTGGCTGCTCTTCAGGCTGCCAAAGTGAAGTGTGTGAGACAAGTAGAAATACTTTCTAAAGTCAGCTCCTGACACTAGAAGGAACTGACTAGCTCTGTCTGGAACTTGACCCTATCTCCAAGGCATTTACAGACACATCAGAAAGATAATGTAAACATGTTGGAAAGCTGACAGTGCAGGAAGAGCGGGGGTGGGAGCTGCACCGTGGGGCCCAGGTATATGCTGCCTGAGTAGTGCCTGCCCACACACACAGGTGCTAAGCCCTGCTGGCAGACAAGGGGGCTGGGAACCTGACCTGGACCTCAGAGTCAGGAAGAAGGGTATTGAGGGTAAGGGGATAGGCATGAGCCAAGTTACCTCCCTCCCTTACCCCTTTCCTGTCACCAGGGGTCAAAAGGGGCCAGAGGAACAATCTCTTTATTCTTGATATTCTAAGCTTCCTAAGGTTGAAGATGAGGCCAGGGAGTCCTCTCGAAGGATGCTGGAGGTTACAGGAGCCATCAAAGTTGAGATGGAGCCATGGAGAGAACCAAGATGAGGCGTTCTCTTCACTTGGCATTCAGACTGCGACCCTTTCAAGCACTGTGCCCCTTTGCTTATTTCTATTTGATTTGTGTGATGTCTGATCAGTCCAAAGCCCATCTGAAAGACATTGCTGGTCCTCTCCTCAAAACTCAATCCCATGTCCGGGGCAGGTTCTTTCTTGTCCTTTTTGTATGGACTCCAGCTTGTGCAGGGCTCTCCTTAGAGGTACTGATTAGGTCTCCGAGGACTGGGGGTGGCAGGGCGGGGGAGGGTGGGAGGGGGTTATGGGGTGAGCAGCTGTGGTTTGCATATTCCTGGACTCTGAAAATTGAGCAGAAATACTAGAATCACTCTTCTCTTTCCTAACCTATTTTCATAGTACATTTAGCCAGGTTATTTTTGGATCCTAAATAGAGAGAAAAACTTCATTAATCATTAATTTGGACCCCCATGGTTATACAAAATTTGTGACAATTTGTTTGTCTTTTAAGGAACTGCTAGGAAAGCTTAACAAGGAAATTATAGGGGGTGGGGAGGAGAGTGTTTAACCTTTTATGGAGACAGGAGCTCAGTTAAGCTCCCGTCTGGACTCAAATGAGTGCTCAATATCCATGCCACTCTTCTCTGTCCCCCAAGAAGGCTGAATGCCTCCTCATTTGTAAACAGGGGACCAGTGGACTAGATCCTCAACTATTTCAAGCCCAGGGACCCCTTTCCCATGTCAAAATATTTCCTGTACCATCTCTGCCCCCAATAAAGCTTTCAAGTAAATCACAGTAGCATCCATGTGCATAGGAGAAATAGTGCTAACTTTCCGAGTCAGAGTGTTCCTTTAGGCTATAAACTATGTTTGGGTACTTATAAAGTCCAGCTCCCCTGGAGGTGGCTCTGGGGTCCTCTGCATCCCCACCATGTGGGAGTCTTAGTTCTCTAAGGCTATAAGACCTGGAGTCCTGTAATGCCAGTAAGGAGGATGGAGGCCAGGTCATTTCAGCCACTCTCACCTTAATGGTTCTCTGCCTCCACGAGGATCCCTTGGTCAGAGAATCCGCAGTTTAAGGGATCAAGGAGGGTTGGGGTAGGTACACTTAACACCTACCAAGGGGGCCTGGTTAAAACTCTATAAGCTGCTTCTTTAAAGCTTTTCCAGGTTGCCTAAGCTCTCCATTCCACAGTGTGCAAGATGGGTGGTGACTGGCATCCCTCTGGGTACCAGTGGTCACCATCCCATGTGAGCAAAAGAGGTTAGGTCTAGTCTTCTGGGTAGTTTGCTTGTCCAGCTGCCTAGAAGAGCTGTCTCAGCTCAGCTCCTCCAAGGGCACCTTTTTCTCTTTGTGGCAGGAGGTAGTAGAGAGGGAAGGAGTACTGGCAAGCGTATCAGAGCTGAGGGAGAAGGGAACTGAGGGAGAGGGAGGGCCTTGCCTTTAAAGGAGTTGAAATCAGGGGTTCTTGGTCCAAGGATAGACTCAGGAGTCTGAGGATACCCTGAAATTAAAGCCAAGTGTTTTGTGTGTGTGGGCATTTCAGCAGGGAGGAGTATCTATCTTGCATTACATTCACAAAGTGTTCCATAGCCAAAACACTTTCTAAAACCCTGCCCTTGAATTTCAACTTTTCCCTGACTCAGGCTTCCCACTCCCTGGTTACTCAAAACTGGTGAAGTGTTACTGTGTTAGTCAAAACCTGCAAGTGTAAAATATCAAATGCTCATTACCCGACAATGACGGGAACCTTAGTCTGCTTAGCAAGTCTGTTCTGCCACTTCGTGTGTGAGAATTCTCAGCACCAAACAGATGCCTCAGAAAACAGCCTGATTGATGACGCTGCCTCCTTTGTTCTCCCACACAGGCCCCGGGATGGCACTCTCCGTGACGGGGCTCCTGGTCTCCTCCTTCCTGCATACCGCCCTCTCCCTGAATCCTGAGGACCCCAACGTGTGCAGCCACTGGGAGAGGTAAGATGTGACCTCAGAGGGCCAGGCACTCCCAGGACGCCTCACCCTGGGTGTGACAATGTAGGGACAAAAGCAGAGTGGAGGTCCAGATGTGTCCACCTTGGGCCTTCTGGCCAGCCGGGGAGAGAGCACAGTTATCAAAAGACAGGGTCACGCAGTATAAATTCCATCTGAGACGCAGAGCTGTGGGAAGTCAGGGTGGAAGGGTTGAGTGACAGGCAACTTAAATGATGCTGTCTGGTAGCTGACAATGCACTCGTGGCCCTCCCGTGTTCACAGTCATTTTACAGATGAGGAAGTAGAGACCCGGGGACACCATGCCCATCCTCAGCCAGGTAGGGCTCAGTGACTGGTCCAGATGTGATGATCTCTGATGCTTCCATGCCTTTCCTGGTCTCCCAGCACTCGTAACAGCACGGCAGCTGGGCTGTGGGGTGGCCAGCAACCTCTCCAAATGGGTGACAGAGCTCTGCTGCTTCCCATCTGGTGGAGGTATGGGGATACTACCAGGGCTGTGCAGCCAGGGCTGTGGCAGAAGAGCTGGCTGCATTCTGGCTGCGGCACTAGGTCCAGGGGGACCGTCTGCAGGGCCTGGCCTGACTTTGAAGCACAAGGTTAAAGTATTGATTTTGGTGAGCACAAAGACAGTGACCAGAGACCCAATCAGGAAAAACCGAATTAAACCTTGGAATTGATTGGCCATGCTGACCAGGATGACTCTGCCACTTAGATGTTAATAAATCAAATGAATAAAATTAAGATGAGGGCCCCATGGGGGAAGTGGAAGGTAGAGGAGGACAGGCAGGTGGGATGGTCTCTGCTCCGTGCTGTGAGGGTGAAAGTCCCAGCCCCAAGACAGGGACAGACACCTCACCCAGAGCCCTGGAGGTGCTGGTGTGGTCTCCAGTGAGCACTCTGTGGGGCCCCAGCAGAGGACAGGCTAGAGCAGAAGGCAGTGTTGCCGTGTGCACAAGATCTGTGCTGAGAAGACATTGACTTCATGGTTTATTCTACTCTCGATTTTTCCACCTGCTAGCTGTGGGACTTTGGAGTTTCTGAACCATTCTGAGCCTACTTTCCACCTCTATCAAGTCGGGGAGAATAATTAGTCCTGCCACACAGTTGGAGGATGAGGATACTAGCTTCATGAAAGTGCTTTGAGAGCCATAAAGTTCTTCCATTGTCTTTTCTTGTTGATGATTCTGACTTTGCAGGAACTGACTACCGCAGACTTGATGCGCACCAGGCTCACTGGGGCTGCATATCGAAAACAGAGTCTCCTGTATCTTCTCCCCTGAGACGCTGACTTTATTGGTCTGGGTACAGCCTAGGAATATGCATTTTTCATAAGTTTTCCATGTGATTCTGAGGTTCTCAGGCCTTTTGGCCCTTTTGGCTTTGGTGAGTTTAAATCTTTATTTCCCAGTGGATGAGAGAGATAGGAGGTGGAATTTCACGTTAGATTAATCTCTGGCTTGCAGACTCCTGCAACCCCTTCTTGTGTATCTGGGTACCTGTGATGTATCCCAGGCTCTGGGATGCCTCCTTTGCTCACATCTGCATTTCCAGGTCCCTTTCTTCCAGGGAGCCTTCTCTGATGACAGGACCCACCCTGTCTTCCCTTTTCTCTGAGTTCCTTTGTACCAGTGGGTCAGTTAGACCTCACAGCAAACTTTTGAAACCTGCCCAACATGAGTAAATTTGGAATGTGAAAATACTCTGACCAAGCCTTCCCTGAGCTGGCATTTCAGGCTAATTGGGCTATTGGTCAAGGTTAGAGCTTAGACGGAAAGACAAGGAGTGTCCCTGACAGCTGAAAGTAGGTGGCAACCCCAGGCTTCTCTAGCCAGGGAGGAGGTCTTGCTGTGATGCCCTGTGCCACCAGGGCACCTCCTTCTAGGCTTTTCCAACTGAGCTGCATTGCCAGTTACTTGAGGATGGATCTAGTGGGTATCATTCCAGAAACACTCTCGGGTCCCCAGAGACCACTTAGGGAGAATTTTCCAAACTGGATTAGTGCTTCTGGAGGGTTCCTTGTTAATTATGCCCCTCCACCCTAAAACCCAGTGGGAAGACCTCTCCTGGCTAGTAAAGCCTGGCTCTGCAAGATTAATCTGGCCCCTATTAGCATGTTGGCAAATGAGCATGTTAAACCACCCAGCCATGAAACCAGGGGCACGTACTTCGCCTCGGAGACTTGGAGTTGGTTCAAGGTGTGGTTGCCAGTCTGGCTCAGCTCAGGACACACTCACAGAGCGAGGTCTGACCCGTGATACCCTCCCCTCCTTCTCTGTTAAGTTGTGTCTTTTCTCTGGGCACCCACTGTCCCCATCAGTGCTGGAAGGAGTGTCTATGATCCTGAGTGCATAACAAAGCAGGGAGTCCCTTTGGCCTGTGGGTCTTGCTCCCCACTCCCTTACCATGGTCAGGGAGGTAATGTCCCTCAGTGCCTAGCATGTGGGGCAAATCATTGCCAGTCATATAATTGCCAGAATCTATTAAACATTTATTGTGTACCTGTTAAGCATATTAAATGTATTATCTTAATCTTCCTACCACCCTCCTTAACCCTCACTAACCAAATGAAGTCCTTGGTAATATTTATCATAGATTTACAGGTGAGGAAACGGAGACTTATGTGAGTTAAATGATATGTCGAAGGACAAGCAGCTAATGAGTGATAGGGATCAAATTTGACCTAAAGCCCATGCACTCTTCTCCATTCACTTCTACCTGTAAGTGAGATGCTCAGTAGATATGTTAGAACACAAGGACATGGAATTTCCAGAGTTGGAAAGGGTTTTGGGGATGCCTGGGTGGGTCTCCAGCTTCCTCAGTTTCCCCAAGCTTGGAGCTAAATGAGGAGTTTGGTTCGTGTCTGCGAAGATGTATGTCAGGTAGTAGAGTCCCATGAAGGACCCTCCTTCTAGCCTCAATGCTTCCAAAAAACAGAATTTCCCCTTCACTCTGAGTCCTAAGTATGGCTGACCGCTCCTGGCTCCTTTATTCTAAAGCAGAGAGCCTGCTAGACCAGCCCCCTTGCACATGAACCAACAGTTTCTTCAGGCAAGACAGACGGGCTTTTACAGCCTGGCCCTGGCCATCTGGCCCATGTCATGAGCCTTCTGGGGGAAAACATGGGATAATACCAATCTACAAAAAATTAATTCCAGAAATTGCAGCTGGGGTCCTCTCCCAGCTCACAGAAAGTCTGAGTTCTGCTTCAGTATCTTGGCTTGACTACCTTTTCACAGAACTCCTACCAGGGGCAGATGGGTAGAAAGGCTTGTTTTGGTAAAACTGAGATCTGCTTCCCTGGGTCTTCCCACCTGTCCAGGTTTACAGCTAACAGTTGGGATGATAAGATAATCACTTTGGTCAAGAAGTATGGGGGCATGTCCTCAATGTGCCCCCAGTAATAGTAGAGATATAATAGGGCAGAAGGTAGCTGGGTGATCTTGGCGATGTCTCTTGTCCTCTCTGATGTTCAGTTTCCTCATCTGTAATATGAATATAGCAATGCTACTCACCTTGTATGATTGTGTAGGGATTAAATAGTTCATACAGGGCCTCCCCGGTGGCGCAGCAGTTGAGCGCTGGGTTGCGAGGCTGCCCGCGGCCTCTGCAGCGCTGGTTTGATCCCCGGCTGCTCCCCGGCCACCGGAGGAGGGTCCCGCATGGCACGCAGACCTCCCCTGCCGCCCTCTGCTCCCCTCAGCAGTGTACTTTGGTCCCTCTGCCTGCTCTGCTCCCCGCTCTGGCTCTGGTGAATTCTCTCACCCTCCTGCGCTTCTGACTGTACCCAGTGCTTGTATAAATAAATAAATAAAATTAAAAAAAAAATACTTCACACAGGGCACTATGTGTTGGGCAGTTATTGGTACCAGCTGAAGGACCCAGGCAAGCAGCCTTTCTCGGAGCCTCAGTTTCTTCTTCATCTGTAAATTGGGACCACTTTGTTGAGTTGCTGCAAAGATCGGTTTCTATACATATACTTTGAAAACCATAAAAATCTGAACAAAGTATTTTAAAATGGGCTGACTCTGCCTTCTAGAGCCATATAGAGTAAACTGAAACCTTTATTCTCTGCTAAATGAGCAGATGAACTAGAATTTCAGACAATGAGCTGGGCTAAAGGGCAGTAAGAGGTGTGTCCTGGATCCACCCTGGAGCCAGAGAGGTTTGAATGCTGAGGGGTTCAGGGCAGAAGGAGCTTAGTAGGGTGGAGGGAGGTTGGAGCCCCTGGACACTTGACTGGTGGGAGACCCCATCCTAAACATCAGCTCATCTCCTGAGTGCTGACCATAGCGTACATCTCCTGTCTGGTTCTCAGTTATGCCGTGACTGTCCAGGAATCTTACGCTCACCCCTTCGACCAGATCTACTACACACGATGCACGGACATCCTCAACTGGTTCAAGTGCACAAGACACCGGTGAGTACCTCTCTCAGATGATGGGGCAGGGAAAAGTTACCAGGTCTTTGGGGTGTGCCTTGGTGTGAGTTAGTAAAATGCCCCATAGCAGCTGTAGTCAGGGCTGTGCCCCTGCCACTGGTACTGCCCTTCACACTGAGCACCTAATGCTCTGCTGAGGCTTCCTTCTGGCCAGAGGAGCTTAAAGGGCAGGGCAGACAAAAGTGCTAGAGGATTGCTGTCCTGGGAGCATCCCTCTCACAATGGTTGGTGGAGAATTGGTAGATAATACCCCAGTTTCCTCACCCTTAGTGCAGCAGGGCACCCCTGAGGCATGTTCTGTACTATATCCCAAAGGTTCCCAGGAGGATGGAATCCCAGTTGCCCTTAATATAAACTTGCTCAGTAGCACTTCTCGAATTGGCTACCTTTATTTTCTCCCACCCTCCTGGTGCTTCCCAAATAAATTTCTTGTCTTTAAATCCTTGCCTTGGGGTCTAATGCTGGGGGGGGGGGACCACCTAAGATAGTCCTCATGAGTGCAGATGTAGCCCCATACCAGGTCATCTGGCTTGGAGAATAAGGTGCAAGGAGAACTCAGCACCCTCTTAGGCTTGGCCAGGAAGTACTCAATCTGAATGACTGCTTGGGAATCCTACTCACTTGTCTGCAGTCCTGTGACATAGTCTGCAAACTATGACATGCCCTCATGTCAGAGAGAAAGAGAGGAAGGAAAGAGAGTCAGTTTTGTTGGATGATCCTGGGCAAGCCACTTTACTTGGGGATTCCCAATAATCCTCACCCTACCTACTTGTAGGGTCCACTAAAGTCAGGGATGTGCAAGTACTTTGAAAGGCAAGGGATAAAATGAAGAGAACTGTGAGGTATTAGATACAAGCAAGATGTTTTTATTATTTGAGGGGTGAAAAGCCAGCACATGAAGGGTAAGTAAGGGAGTGAGGGAGAGGCTGCCTGATAGGCTTGTTTTCTAGTTGCTGAGCATGTGAGTTGGTCCCAGATTTCTTTTGCTCTTGTGACCCAGTCCCTCTTTGGTGTGAATGCAGGGATCATGGTATGTGGCAATGAGGGAAACTCACTCTGCTGAAAAGCCGAAGTCCTTCTTTGAGGTTTTGTTAATTTTCTGGGAGACACAGAGTATATCTATAACAGCTTCAGAAACCTTTGTCTGCTAATTCCAACATCTGGGTCATCTTAGGGTTGGTCTCCCCTCATTGCCTTTTCTCTTATGTAGATAATATTTTGTAGTTCCTTTAGATAGCTAGTAGTTCCAAATTGTGTTCTTGGCATTATGAACTGTAGAGAACTGAATTCTGTTGTATTCCTCTAGAGAGTATTATTTGTTTTAGCAGCCACTTTAACTTTGCTACACTCAAATTCCAAACTCAGAAAGTTCTCTCTTTTTAGCTTTAGCTGGCAGCTTGGAATCTGCCCTCCATGCACGTAATTCAGGGTCTAGAAGTCTGCACAGAGATTTTACAAAGAATGTAAAATCACTCTTTGTGGCTCTCTCCTTTCTGGGGCTTCACTTTTCACATTCTAGCTGCTGGGTCTACCCAGAACTTGTCCTATTATTCTTCAAATCCAAAAGGCTGTATGTGTTCTGTCTGAATTTTAGTCACTGGGAATATTGTGGACTGGGGCCTTCCCTTGGGCTAAACCTGTGTCTTTCTTCCAAGTATCCACTTCCCTCCAGTGTCTGCCTGCCTTTGTTGTCTCTCTGCTTTCGAGTAGTCGTTTTTCTGTCTTCCCAAGTTTGTATAGTTGTTACTTGCAGGAGGGTGGTCCAATAGGAGTTACTCAGCCATTGTTGTATCCCTTTGCTCTAACTCCTTACTGTGAAGTGAGGAGGTGGGACCAAATGCCCCCTTCCAGCTCCCCTAGTTGTGTCAAGATACCTCCCTATGGTCAAAGGTGGAGGCTGAAATCAGTCCCGCTCCCTCTGTAAGCCTGGCAAGCCTTGTGCCAGAGGCAAGTTTACTATGAGGTGTGATTTTGTTAGATACTTGGAGGCCAGGTGTCCATCACCACTGGCAAAGGATAAGTGAGCTGCTGCTTACTAAAATAGGTTGCATTCTTGGAACGTGAATTATTTTGCTAAATTATTGAGTTGCCTGAAGCTTTCCCAGTGACCAGAGCGTGTGTGCTAACAGCTGGGTCACCAGTCTGCCTCAGTGTGGAATGGCTCCTCAGAACGCAGCCTTCTTCTCCTGAGGGCAGCCTGACCTCTGGTCCCTGCCCTCTCCTCTTTCCATTGCAGTGTAGGGAGCAAGGCTGGGAAACTAGAAGCAGTGGCGAAAACTCACTCCTGAGAGGCTTCAGTGATCCTGAGACCACCTCACCACTGAAAGGGCTTAGGGCTAGCCTTGTTTGGTGGGAAGAATGGACTGAGTGACTTCGGAGTCAAGTCTGAGTCATTCTTCATCGGGGAGGCTTATGCAAGTCCTGAAATTGCCAGGAGCTGCCTCCCTTTGCTGGGAAAGTAGCCTTACTTTGAGGCCAGTTTGCCTTCCATTATGGGTTTTGACAAAGTAGAATAACCTTCCTCTATGACATTCCCAAATGTCAGAGATTTCCCTGGAGCCTCACACTGTCATTTGTCATAAAGTGGGGGCTGTAAGGACTGGGTGAGTTGGCCCAGCCCACATTGCAGGACTCCCTTCACAGTGTGGCCTGACCTTCCATGGAAAGCAGGCCACAGGGTCTCCAATGACCAGCCCTGCTGCTTTGACCCCTGAGGAGGCTCCCCTGAAGTGCTGATGGGGAAGTGAAAGAGTCCTGGCTTCAAGGTCTGAGGACTTGGGCTTGAGTCCAGTGATAGTCGTGATGTTGGGAAGTTCTGTCTCCTCTTATCTTTAATGCCATTTCATGTCTCCTCGCTGTGACTCTACATGTGATGAAGGGGCTTTGCCTTCAGAACCCCATTTGACTCCCTGTTAAGTATTCAGACCTCCCACATCCATATTTCCCTTGCCTTTACCTTCACTGTGTCTATCCCATACATCAGCAAGCCAGCCTGTGGGAACCGGCACAGGGCAGTAGGTTAAGTCTAATGGTTTTGAAATTAGAGTGACTCTGAAATTTATTAGCTACGTGACCCCCCAGCAAATCATTAACTGCTTTGAATCTCCTTTTTCTCATCCATGTAGGTTAAAACAAAGAGGAGATACCCTAAATAATAAAAGCTCTTAAAAAAAATAAAGGGGGCATGATAATGCTAGCTGCCCTATGGGTTGTTGGGAGAAACACATGAGATTTTACTGGTAAACCTGTCTGGCATGTGGTGAAGTCTTCACATCTGTCTTAAAAACTAGACCCTATGGGCCTCCCCAGGTGGCACAGCGGTTGAGCGCTGGGCTGTGAAGCTGCCCGCAGTCTCTGCAGCACCGGTTCGATCCCCGGCCCCCGGCAAGGGTCCCACATGGCGCGACAGACCTCTCCTGCTGTACTCACTGCTCCCCTCAGCAGTGTACTTCGTCAGTCTGCCTGTTCTGTTCCCCGCTCTGGCTCTGGTGAATCCTCTCACCCTCCCCCGCTTCTGACTGTGCCCAGTGCTTGTATAAATAAATAAATAAATCTTTAAAAATAAATAAATAAAAACTAGACCCCAGGTCTCCGATTCCCTGTCTCATCCTCCTTCCGCTCCCTGGGCCTCAGTGTCTTCTCTGCAGAGCCAGGGGGCAGTTCTGAGCCTGCCCAGGGTGGGAAATTGCCTTCTAGGAGGTATGATTTTGGTGTGAGTGGTATTAATCCCCACTCTGGGACTGAGTCTGACTTGGAGGATTCTTTTGCTGACTCTGCTTCAGTTCTGCAGGTGGGTGGGCCAAGTCCCAAGGGGCCCAGAGCTGTCTGTTTATTAGGGGTTTGGGTAGTTATAGACACATACACTCTCAGGGTCACCCTCCACAATGTAGTCCCCAAAGTATCTTGCACATCCCTTTTAAATATCTCTCTGAAGAGACTGGGGAGCAGTCAGCAGTGTAGCAAATGCCATGTCAGTAATACATTCTGCAGCACAACAGCCCAGATCCCGCCATTGATTTTTCTTTATTGTGTTCCTTCATATTCAAAGCTGCCATGCATTTTAAAGTAATTATTGAATGGAATCTTCGATATAGCTTAACACAAATATCATTCTAACAGGAGTGATTGATTTTCAATACTTTCAAGTGGCTTTTTCCCTTGTGCCTTAGGATCAGTTATAAGACGGCATATCGGCGCGGCCTCCGGACCATGTACCGGCGGAGGTCCCAGTGCTGCCCTGGCTACTACGAGAATGGAGACTTCTGCATACGTAAGTAGGGCTGCCGTTGTTTTGGCCTCAGTGGGCCTGGGCGGGAGGGGAAAGCAGAGGAGGGGGAGTGAGGGAAAGGAGGTCGTGCTGTGACCCAGGCCCTGAGCAGCAGCCCTCACCTGGCCCAAGGGAGCCTTTCTTCTACTCTCATGAAGACCCTGCCTGCTGTCAGCTCTGAGGGGGTAATGGTCTGGTGCAAACTCATTAGCACAGATTCATCCACCAGATCAACCTCTTAAATGTGGATGCAAGCAGGTCTGCTTTAGACTTTGACAGGGACAGAAATGGATGCATCTGGAGTGGTCACTCTGAGGAGCAATAGGGGAAGGAGTACTCAGTGCCTGGCATAGAACAGAGATCCCAGTCTTTGTTAAAAGGAAGGAGAAACAAATGGATAAATGGGTAGATAGACAGATGAATGAATGGATGGATGGGTGGATGGAGTTAAGGGGGTGGATGGATGGATAGATGGATGGATAAATGGATGGGTAGGTGAGTAGATGGATGGATGGGTAGATGGAGGGAGGGAGGAAGCTTGGATGATTGGATTCCAAGATCGCAGTACCTAGAAGAAGGATGGCAAGAGTAAGACAGATCATGAGGATCTTGTTCCAAGAGTGGGGATCTTGTTCCCTGTTTATCTGCAAAGACTTAGAAAACTGAGGCCTTAGTGTCTCCAGAGAAGTAAGAACTAAGTGGCTTTCAACTTCAGTCCCTCAGGATGGGGGGCAGTGGGGGACACCAAGGAATAGGATCCTGTAGATCTGGGTTCTCGCTCCAACCTCCCAGGCATGTGGCTTTAGGCAAGTCACTTGACCTTTCTGGGAGAATGTTTGTAGGGCCTGGTCAGAGTCAAATGAACTCTTTCCCAATTCACCTCTGACAAGTGGAAAAGGGCCAGTAAGGGGCTTTTCTGTGGGCATTTGACAGTTCCCTCAACTGAAGGAGTGTGTAGGAGAAGCTGGGGCCCCTCATTAAATGACTGAGAGGAGAATTCACCCCAAAGCTTCTGCCTCTTCATTTGGAGGGAGATTTGGGAGGTGGTTTTCCTCCTTAGTATTCTCCTTGCCACTCTTATTTATGAAGCGAGCTAGCCCCAGAGAGAGAATTTGGGCAGAGTGGGTGTGTTGATGTTGGGAATGAAATGACAATTTTCCCCTGCTGTTGTTATATCTCCCCTAATGCTGGAGAAACTCGATTCTAATTGCATTACAGGAGTGAATGAAAAATGCTCCCACAAATGCGTTCAATAAGCATGGCTTTGCAGGAAAAAGACAAAGATATTCAGCCAAAGCAAACCCACAAAGGCTTTTCTTAGGAGCAGGACAGAGGACTGGACTAGGACAAGTCCCTGGCCAATACCTCACCTGGAGTGGGGTTACTCTGGGGACCCGGGTGTAGAAGTAAGACCAGAACTCAGACTTTTCTGCTGCTCTGTCTTTCTGAGTTGAGATTCAGCCCAGGGGTGGGACATGGGTCTCATAAAGCCCAAGCAGGACAGATGCCAGTGGCCTTTCCAGGCTCAGGGCACAGTGATGGACTTGGGAAATTATAAAGGGAGTTGGGATGTCAGCAGGGGCTCCAAGAATGGATGAACACACTACCTTTCTAATTTCCATTAGTGGGTGTGGGTAAAGCTCGTGGAAAATGAAGAGCAGGGCAGAAGTGCTAAATGTCCTGATTGCATAGGCCTGGTCTTGCTGACTGGGAAGTGTGGCTTATGACCTCCCACCTTCTCTTTATGTAACTGCCGTGCACTGCAGGCCAAGCTGGTGGCCATTGGCCAGCTCACCTCCCAGAAGTCAACCATTATCAGGATTGAAGGCTTTTCCTAGGAGGGGATGGGAGAGTTTCAGCAGTGAGACAGGGGCCCATAGTGCTGAGACCCAGCACTATGGCATGCTGGGTGTGGGTAGTATGACATAAAGGGCAGGAGTCACACAGGTCCATGTTTGCATCTCACTCTGCCACTGCCTGTTTCCTCCTCCTCCTCGTCTTCTTCATCATCATCATCATCATCATCATCATCATCATCATCATCATCATGGTCTCCAGAGCACCCACCCACACAGGCCCCTATCTCATTGGTTTACACACATCAGTGCATCAGCTCCTCATACCAGCCTTGTGTGGTAAATACCTTTGTTTCTCCCATTTTGTAGATGAGGAAACAGTCACAGACATGTCTCTAGAAAGTGGCAGAACTTGGATTTGAACCCAGGCTCTCTGGCCCTGTACAGAGCCTGTACTTGGACAGGCTGCTTCTCTCTTCTGAGCCCAGGCAAGACATCATCTCTCTGAAGCTCAGTTTCCTTTCATGTAAAATAGGGACAGTAACACCTAATCACTGGGAACAGGTCAGAGACTTAAGATGTTAACTCCCTCTTCTATGGCCTTGGGTTTAAATTTTTTTTTTTTAATAAGGGTCGAAATTTTTTTTTTTTAAAGATTTATTTATTTATTTATGTAAGCACTGGGTACAGTCAGAAGTACAGGAGGGTAAGAGAATTCACCAGAGCCAGAGCGGGGAGCAGAGCAGGCAGAGGGACCGAAGTACACTGCTGAGGGGAGCAGTGGGCGGCAGGAGAGGTCTGCGCGCCATGTGGGACCCTCCTCTGGTGGCCGGGGAGCAGCCGGGGATTGAACCGGCGCTACAGAGGCTGCAGGCAGCTTTGCAACCCAGCGCTCAACCGCTGTGCCACCGGGGAAGCCCTGGCCTTGGGTTTAAACATTTTCTGTCTTGGTCTTTAACTTGTCAGAGCTCCATGGACCCTCTCCCTGGTAAAATGCAGGCTACATTTATAAACCTCCCCCTACCACTCCTTTGCACACATTTCAGTAAGTGCAGGGGTCCCTTCAAACCCTTACAGGGTCCTTGGATCCCTGGGATATAGTTTCTGCTATGTATACCTGTTCAACTTATACTTGTTACTCCCAGTTGTGCAGATGTGGGGGCTAGATGCAAGTGAGAGGGTTGATGATCCTCAAGAGGAGCTTGCAGCCTAGTGGAAGGAGGCTGCTACACAAACGCGGCAGCAGTGTGATAGGTGCTTCGCAAGCACCTTTATAAATAAAGTAAGGCAGGAGTAGAGAGAAGTGGCTTTTTCAGCAGCAATCACTTAAGGTGTTCATGAGCAGTCAGCAGAGATAGAGGCTCTCTTAGAAAGTTTCCAGCCAGTATTTATTAAATATCTACTATGGCATATAAGTGCTAGAAATAGTCCCCACCCTCGTGGAACCTACAGTCTGGTTGGGAAGACAAGGCTGAAGTGCAGGCGTGAGGAAGCTTGTGGAGAGGGAAGTGAGAAAAACTAGCAGTCAGTCCAGAGCGAGAGTGTGACCTGCCATCCCTCGGGAGGCTTTGTGGGAGTTTGAACTGGATGGAACTACATCTTGAGGGTGCATAGAAGAGAACCACATGATCCTGGGCATGGAGGACCTGATCATGAGGCAGGGGTGAGGCAGTGAGAAGGCTGGGCTGGCCGCGGTGGCAGGTCTGGGCAGGACAAGGAGAGATAAGGTTGGTGGTGAGGCGGCTGTTCCTTTTCTGGTGCTGCTACTTCAAAGTAGCACAGCCTGGCAGCTTCACCGGCAGTTTATTATCTGACTGGAGGCTACAAGTCTGAGATCACGGCATCGCCCTTTGCTTCTGGTAGGTTCTTGGCTTGTGCCAGCAAAACTCCCTTCTTCACCTAGTGTTCTCCCCTGTGTGTGTGTGTCCCCATATTTCCCCTTTTTAAAAAAACATAAGTCTCATTTTAATTTGATTACCTCTCTAAGGTCATATGCTAAAGTATTGGGGGTTAGGACTTTGATTTATGAATTTTAGGGGGACACAATTCAATCCCCAACAGGTGGGTGTCAGCCACTACCAGCACTCTCCTGTTCCTGCTTATTGTCATGGGGGAAAAGGAGGGTATAGCTCCAGCAAGGCACAGAGCAGGTTCTCTGTGATCCAGGCAGATGGGTAAAGAAGAGTCCTGGAGCCCTTGGTGGCTTTTTCAGGCTTTTGAGTTTTTTACATCATTTGTAGTGTGGCAACCAGGTACATGGCAGGCAGGGGGTCCGGGGGCGGGGGGCAGGAGGCTGGCAGGCCTCCTAGCCCTCGGAAAATCTTCACTCTTTCTGGACTCTCTGCTACCACTGCTGCTGCTGCTTCTTCTACCCTGGCGTCCCCACGACGCCATCCTTGTATGACCAGCCTCTTAGCCCAGGTGCGCCCACTTACGCAGGCCCACACCCTACTCCAGGTGCCGCCATCAGGCATGCATGCAAGACCACAGATGTCATTCATTGATGCTAATGACAGGAGGCGGAAAAACCTGATCACTTACATTTATCCACAGAGGGGGAAAACTTCTAGCCCCCATGGGCTTGCCACATGTCTGTGAGGACCCTGAGAGAGGGAGAAATGGTAGTGGGAGGGTGAAGGATTGTGCCTAGCATGCCAGGGGCCAGAAGAGAAGCTTGTAAAGCTGGGAGCATCTGGGAGTATATGTATGTTGGTGCCTGCCCCTCATCCCCACCCCTCAGAGGCCAGAGAACCTCCAGGATCACCAGAACCTAGGGATAACGCTCTGACACTGAGTCCTCAGGACCTTGTACAGGTAGTAGAAGGAAGTAAAAGCCTTGGCTTACTGCACAAATTGTGTGCAAATCCCTTTGCCTCTCTGGACCCACTGTGGCTAAGGATGGCTCATCCCTGTGCAGGGAAGGAAGATCAAGCAAGAGTGAGCATGCCTGGAACATGCAGGTCTGGGGTAGCACTGTTTTTCTGCTCCTTTTTTTTTTAAAAAGATTTATTTATTTATGCATACAAGAGCTGGGGTACAGGTCAGAGGTGTGGGGGGTGAGAGGATTCACCGGAGCAGAGTGGGGAACAGAACAGGCAGACTGAATGAAATACACTGCTGAGGATAGCTGTGGGCAGTCAGGAGAGGTCTGCTGTGCCATCTGGGTTACTCCCTGGCCGGCTGGGAATGGAACTTGTGCTGCAGAGG